CAAAGGCGGCCAGCAGCGACGAGGGGCTGCCCAGGCAGGGAAAGGGCAGCCCTGAGCCCCCACCTTGTCCTGGTCCTCCTCGCCTGCCCAGTGCAAAGAGAGCTCGATCTGGGCATCCCAGCTCAGCAATGCCCCAGGCTGCGATTGCCTTTTGGGGAAGAATGCAGAGGGTGATACAGAGCAAAGCTTTTAAGCAACCCTGCCTGGCTCTCCCCTCTGCTCCTTCTGCATGCGCCGCGCAGGCAGGGGGGATGAGAGCATTTGTCTAATTTGCTTTTCCCAGTGCTTGCACCCCTCTTTTCCATGCCACTGTTAAGGAAGGGTACCATTAACAGTGCTTCTGCATGCTGTGGTTTGGAGCAATGCTGTGCGATAGCAGCAACTCCTGGCTTTTTTGGTGCAAGGAAAGGAAAGAACCATTTGGTGGGAAAGAAGAAATGGGAAAAATAAAAATCCCTTTGTTTTTTCAATGGAATGTGCCTACGATCATGGGCATAGCTAAGCCACTGGTACCCAAGCCCCATTGTGCACTGTATCCCGCTGGGCGCGTGCATCTTCCTGTGGTGCCCGGCTGGGAAACTGCAGCAGCAATTCATTTCCCAGTTAGCAATAGTCTCCCTCTGCACAAAAATGGTACCAATGTACTGCTCTGGTTTTGTTTTTGAACCCTTCTCCCAATACTAACAATAATAAATTCTCCCAATAATAAATTCCAATAACAACTGGAATAATTCAGCTCCTTGGTGCAGTTTCGGGGGCAGAGGTTATGGGAAATTCCTGCTTGGGGTTTTTACTAGCATTTCTTGAGGGAAATGTTGAAAAATTCACTTCTTCAAGATCCCCCTGGAAAGTCTTTCAACCTCTTGACCTCTTCTCGCTTCCTGAAATGTAGCTATCTCCAGAGCAGCTACAGCCATGGTTTGAGGCATGACAAGGGTCTCTTCGGGCGATGGGAATATTTATTTATTTGCGTTAGGAGCATGGCTCTGCAAGCAGCTATTTTGCTTGAGGGAAAGCTGGGACTTATTTTTGAGCCATGTGCCTGGCTGCTCTTTATGTTGATGGAAGCCCTGTTATTTCAGTGGGGTGATGCGCTGTGTTTTGAAATAATATGTGACTGAGATGTCGGTAGTAATTGGGATAATAAAAATAGCTTGCTCTTATCTTAGCCCGGATCACCTGTAGAGCATCATCATCCCTGCTTGGCAGCCGGGGAGAGGCGCAGCAGCGACCCGGACTGCATTGAACCACCCAGTGCCTGGGACCAAATGTCCATAAGGGAGTTACCTCCAGCCAGAGCTTGGGAGGGTGATGGGGAGCACTGGGCTTGGCGCAAAGGCCATGGATGGTCTCAGCTGGGGTTTGGTTGGAGCTGTTGGCTGGGTGGTCCCTGCTCTGGGCTGGCCATCCCCCCAGCCGAGCTGCTGGCAGGGAGGAGGTTTGTCCCTGGGGAGGTGCCCTGCAGCACCTCCAGCGCTGGAGTGGGCCAGCAGCTTTTCAAAGGCATGCATGGGTTTGCAAGCCCCACTCAACATCTACTTGGGGCCAAAAGACTTGCTGTGCCTTGGCCCTGCTGTCCCTTGCTGGCTGGATTTGGGGACCCTTTCTGGAGGGTGATGCCTGGGGGTTTGGTTACTTCAGCAGTCTTGGGGTGATGGGCAACCCCCATGGGAGAGCTCCCACCATGGAGGTGCTGCTCCTCGGAGGGACTCCTGTGTTGTCAGCCATGCCGCTGCCCTATGCCAGCCCCTGGCAGAGGCAGGAATCTGGCCCCGAGCATCTCTTCAGCTTTACCCTCCTCCTCTGCCCCAGTTAGCTCTTAACCTCTGTACGTTTAAGGCCAGAGATGGAGCTGTGCCTTCCTCTGCATGTCAGGATTGCATGAGGTTAATGGGAGACCCCTGGACCTGATTAAAATCTCCCTCTCATTTCTCTTTGTGGCGAGGAACCAGGATGCTGATACAGGCTCCTTATGCGCTCCACAAGGGCTCCTCAGGACCATCCTGCGGGCATCCTCACACCAGCAAGTGGGGTATTTATTTTCTGCAGCCAGGCCATGCAAGGCCAGCGCTTGTTTGGCATTTACATTGAGTGAAACCTTATAACTTTAATAAGATGTAAACCGTGTCGCACATCTCTGCCGTCGCTCAGCAACCCTGCAGTAATGGCCCAAACAAAGCCTCCCCGTGTGGAGGGAACACTAAATCCTATTGTGGGATAATTCTGCTCGGCCAGAGCTGGTATCTCCCCTGCAGCCACCCTGGCTGGGACTGCGCAGCCAGGAACAGCCCCTGCCCCACCGCAGCTCGGTCCCCACCTCACCGTGCTGTTAGGGGAGATACTTTCACTGACATGGGGCTTCAGGCTGAGGAGTGGGTTTTTGGGATGTGCTAAGGGCGTGCTAGGGGGGGCTTGAAGCGATAGTGGCCCTGCTAAGGACTGGCAGGCTCCCGGCTCCGAGCTGGCTCAGCAGCCACTGTATTTCCCTCCAGCTGCGCTTGGGATGGCCTCCTGCGAAAGTCCTGCTTCAGGGATGGCCGATGAAGAGATGCTGGGGTAGATCCTCAGCTGACTTATCCCCAGGTGGCTTCAGTCATTTTTCAGTGTCTTTATTTTAAAATTCCCACGTCCTTTTCTCTTCCCTCTCATCCTGCCACTGCCTTTTCATCCCTCCTGTCATCCCACTGACTGCAGGGCCAGTTTTGCTCTCCGGTGCCCAGTGCCGGGCTGGGGACAGGCAGCTCCTTTGAGCTCCCCCCTTCCTATTGCAGAGCCGCGCGCTGTGCCCCAGCGGGGATTTCTGCTGGTGCAGGGCCGTCCTTCCACTGCGGCGAGGAGACATGATGAGCTCAGCTAAATTGGTGCACCCTGCAGTTTTATTTGGATGGTGCTCACGTTGCCAAGCAGGGAAGCACCTGCAGCAGGGTGTGAAAGCAGCATTAATATCAACAGCAACCCTGAGCGAATCTGCTCAAGTGGTAAGATAGGGCATGGCAGTGAGACAGCAAAAGGAGGCAGGTGTCCATGAGTGGTTCCTAGTTCAAGTGGTCTCCTAAAGAGATTTTGGAGAGGGATGGGCAGGGGGTGGGCGATGGGCAGCTCCAACACAAGCCGGAGGAGAAAGCGGCTCGGGAGCACAGACCCTCCCTCCCTGCCCGCTGCTGCCCTCTTCTCCTCCCACGGCGTGATGGATGTGCCTTGCCCCGCTGGCTGGGAGGGCAGGCGCCTACAAGGCAGACATATGCCATCCACCCAGCTATTCAGCAGGTGCGCTGAGCCATGCCTCTGCGAAGATTTTTATCTTCTTTTAATGCTTGGACCTTCAGGTAGGTGTAGGAAAGGCCGGCTGCGCCTTGAGTGCTCTCACTGCAATCCAACCATCACCAGGTGTGGGAGGACTCCTGCCTGCAGACAGCTGCCTGCCTGTGGGGTACCCCACCATCTCACCCGCCCTGGAGACCCTGCAGCAGCGGCAGGGCTGGGTGCTGTTTGTGGCACATAAAGTCACGTGAGAGCAGCCCAGGAGCTCCTTTCCCTCTCCCCAGCACATCTCTGCAGTGTGCAAGCCCCGCCACGCATTACAAAAGGAAGAAAGAGCATCCCCCTGAACATCCACCAAGATAAAGAAGAGATTTTCCCTCTCCTTCAGCCCTCGGGGGTGATCTGCAGGAGGTTTGCTTTGAGCTTCTAGAGGGGTAGTGCCTACAGAGGTGTTACTGTGCTGGGTATGGTGTTTCCAGGCTGAGCCCTGAAGAGCTGTCACTCCAGCCCTGCTCACTCCGGCCGCAAGCCAGGGGCTGTGCTGGGAGCATCCCTGCCTGCAGAACCACCCCCAAATCCCCGTGACACCAGCCAGGCTGCAGAGGAGTATCTGAGGGCAAAGGCTGGGTGGGGAGGAGGTGGTGGAAGAAGTCGCAGCGACTTCTGGGACGCGGTTAAGTAATGGCAAGCGAGGGTGGGCGATGGGGAGGAGTGACCCTATTTTGGGTAGGATTCTCAAAAGCGCTCGCAGTTGGTGGGGCTCCTCTGACGGGCGTCTGTGCCGACATACTTGCTTGTAGCCGTGGAGCAGAGTCCCAGCCTGGCTGGACCCTTCATTTGGTGAGCGAAGCCAACTTGGGGGGACAGCATGGAGCTGGGTCTCCCGTTTGTGTGACTGCTAAATTCAGCTTTGCTTCCCATGGTGGTGTGGGCAACAGCATCCTCAGCGCTCAGCCTATTTCTCTGACGGCCAGTTTTTGCCATTCCCCTGCAGGTGGAGGCGGAGGAGCACCAGGACGTGGTGGTCTACGACCAGAGCACGCGGGACGTGACCGGCTTGGCTGCTGACAGCTTCCTCTCCATCCTCCTAGGCAAACTGGACAGCTGTTTCCACAGCGTCTCCATCCTCACAGGTAGGAGGTTACTGCTTCCCTTGGTGCTTGTGCCTTTAGTCTGGAGTTACAGGGCTGTGGCCACATGTGTCCATCTGCACACACTTTCCCAGCCACCAGTGGCTGTGGCATCGGAGGGCAGCCCTGCATGCGGACTGAGGACGCTCAACCCACACTGGCATTGCTGGGTCCCCCAGCGCGTTCATTCCTCGCACTGTCCAGCTCCCCACCACTGCACCTACCAGCCAGGGTGAATGAGAGGGGAGGGTATGGAGGGGTCATGGTGTCACGGATCTGGCCACCCAAAAGCTGCCCTTCGTTCCCCCATCCTGGTGCTGCTTCATCCCCAGTGAATGTGCCAAGGGCTGGACCTGGTTCAGGCACTCTCCTCCCTCTCACTGCTGTTAAAGGGAGGGCAGGAGAGGACACCCATGGATGTGCTGGGAAAAAGAAGGAGAAGGAGGGCAAGGGCAGAGGGTCATCCCTGGGTAAGTCAAGGTCTGCTGGAGATGATGCTCTCCAGGCGCAAGTGCGCAGGCAGGAGGAGGCACGTGCTGTCCTAATTGCAGCCCTTCTGCAGAGCAAAATGGGAGGCAGGCGACCGATGAATGAAACGCTCCGACCCAGCAGAGAGGAGGAGAAAGGGGCAGCGAGCTGCCGAAGGGAGAGTTAAAGCTGCCTTTAATTCCCCATAGCTGGGGCGGCTGGGCGGCTGCCTGGCTGGCTGCCCACCTCCAAACTTTCTTCCTGCAGAGGGGTGAGCAGGCACTGCCCTACTCAGCCCCTTGATCCCGCTGAGCTTAGCCAGGCTCCTAGACAGTGCCGAAAGCACAGAGATGGGGATCATCTCTGTTCCCCAAGCCTGTCCTCCTCCTGCAGCAATTGGGTACTGCTTTAGGGCTGAGGCAGAGGGTACCGACTTCTGTGTCCCCAGGGCATCGCAGGGATGGAGGGAGCGGCCGTCCCCGCAAACTTGGCAGCATGACAAACCCTGGGAAGGAGTAGCTGTGATGGGAAAGGTGGCAGAAGCAAGTGGCATTCAGGGAGCCTTGCTCGTGCATGGCATGGGTAAGGTACTGTTGAATCAGAGCAGCTGTGTTGGGATGGGGAGAACAGAGCAGAGAAATAGCAGGAATAAACCCCTCAGTTTGAGGGTTTCAAAAGCAAGCAGGGATTACATGAAATCACATTAAAGCTAATTAGCGTGGTCCAGGTTGCAGGAGCTCTGCCGAGGCCAGTGCTGGAGGATGCCACCACAAGCTTGCTGTGGCAGTTCCTGGCCTGCCCCAGCGGCCATGCCGGCAGCTCCAAGGTAGTCATGGCATAAACAAGGGCACGGCTTGGCACACTGCAGGAGAAGGAGAAGGCAGATTCAGTTGCATCTGGGAAGGAACCTGCTTAGTCACTGGGATGGGTCAGGAAACAGCCTTCATAGCGTGACCCCGGCACCCCTCAACCCGTCACCACTTTCCCAGGACCAGGCGAAGGGCAGCACTATGCACTGGCTGCAAACCCTCCGCCCCAAGTCCTCCTGGAGCAGGGACGGAGCTGGGTGAGGTGGCCCTGAAAGCCCTGGAGCCTTCTCCTCCCTGGGAAAGTGCTGGGACCCCAGCCACATGCACGGCATGCCCCATGCTGGGTGAGCGCTGGTGGCGTGCCACCCCCCCAGCCATCAGCATTGCCACCACTGCCCCCCCATGAGCAAACCGGCACCCCGCTTGGGCACATGCATCCTCCATCTTCAGGATTTCCATCTCCCTGGGCTGCAGGAGCCCAGACCCCCAAGCAGGGGTGTGGCTGTGCTAGGTGCCAAGCAAAGCTTAAACCTCCCTAATTAAAAGTGCTGCAGGGCCGCAGCCTGATGGGGAACGCGGGCCGCCAGCAGGTGGAAAAAACGGGAACTGAAATTTAGAACACTGGGTCATGGTGGCGGCATTTTACATGGAAATCGTGATTGGAAGCGGCTGCGCACAGCATCCGAGGGAGGCTGGGCACATTTGCCAACACATGCAGCTTCCTCCTGCCTGAGGTGTGGGCAGCAGCCGGGTTGTTTTAGAGGCAGCTCTTGGGAGGTCTGAGGGGGGATGTGCAGGCTGGGCCTGATTCTGACCCCTCGCCCTGGTGGGTTTTAACCCCTCGGTCTGTCCGCTCCGGGCTCAGGCACCTCATCCTGCCCCAGCCCATCCCGTGTCCCAGAAGAGGTGCATGGGTCCTCCCTGGAGGTGGCTTGTGACCCCAGCGGAGAGTTGGGCTGGCAAGGGCTGCCAAAATCTCAGGGTCCTGCCCTGAAATCTCAGCCTGTCCCTAAGTGGATGCCAGCACCCCGTCCTGAGGGTCCCCAAAGCCGTGTGCCAGCCCTATGCAGCCCCAAAACCTCCCGAGCACCTCCATGCTCCCCAGCTGTCCTCAGCCGCAGCAGATGTTTCTCCAGAGGTGACACATATCCATGCCTCAGTGTCCCCATCTCGTGCAAATGCTGTGCTTGGCCATTCTTGCTCACCTCCAAGTCATTGTCCTTCAGACCCTTGAAGTAGCTGGTGGAGGCTGATGGGTGAGGACAGGGGAGCTGGGGGTGGCAAGAGCGGCGGTGGGGACCCCTCAAGGGTTAACAGCCCAGAAGCAGTGATTCCAGCAGGCTGGGAAGGCAGAATCTGAGTCAATTATTCCCAGTCTTGGAAATCATCGGCTTCTCTTCTTTTTTCCCTTTTTTTTTTTTTTTAATTGTGTAAGTATAAATAGTGCTGCTTGCTGCCCTCCATCCATGGGAGCAGAAAGCCTGTTGATTTATATGGTTTTCCTGACATCACATGAAGTGGTGGAAAACTGAATGGAGCCAACATTTTTCCTGCATTACGTAATGCCCCCTCCCTCCCGGCCCAGCTCTGCTATTCCTGCAGGAGCCTGACTGTTCTTTAACCTTTGTTTACTTCAGCACAAACCCTTGCTTTTTTGCCTTTTTTTCTGGCTATTTTTTGCTTTTTTTTTGCCTTTTTTTTTTTCACTTTGCTTTTTTTCCCCCCTTCTTCTTCCCCTTTGCAAACTCCCGCTTGTTTTTTATTAAGAGCCATTATCTGTTTATGAAGCAGCAGCAGTGGTCTGGCTCCATCGCTCCCTGATGGCTCCCATGTGCCAGCTCTTGTATTGGAGCCCGGCCTGAGCTGCAGTGTAGTGCTGAGCTCCTGGGTGCTGAGCTTCACGAGCTCCTCTCCGTTTGTCCAGCTGCAGCGGAGGGTGGGGAGATCTTCCTTTTCTCCCATTCAGCGGCTAAAAGCGATAGCCGAGGGCTTGGGATGTTTGTCCAGATGATGCTCAGGCACCCATCCTGTCCCTACTCCTGGTGCTCGCTGAGCACCAGGCTCCTGTCTCCTGCACCTGAAGCCGTATGCCAGCCGGAGACGAAACTGGGGTGGCAGTGTGTGGCCAGCAGCGGTGGTCCCCGCAGCTCGGACTGCTGGGGCTGGGACCCCCTTGCACAGCAGAGGCTCTTTTCATTGCAGTTTCACGTGCCGGGGGAGCTTCGTCGTTGTGATACTGT